ATATATATAGAGACAGAGTAAATAGGCCTACATTGAAAACAGGCTTTGGAAGGACAAATGGCACATATTTAGGAGATCTAGATTCTGCTGATGGCATCTGACTATTAAACATCTCAGTAATAATAAACGCAATAAGAAAACAGACAAACTAGCAAACGTTGCGAAAAAAGTTGGCATGATAATAAATGTATATAAAACAGAAGTACTACATACGACTAGCATCAGAAACTACGCCCATCACACTTTATGGAGAACCCCTTGCAGAAATTGTAAATTCAAGTACCTTGGCAGCATTATATCCAAAACTGCAGACTGCCTTGACGCCGTCCACAAAGACTTTAAGATGCATGGATCGCTTAAGTGAAATTAAAAACTATATTATGGAAGTCAAATATCACTTTTTCGAAGACGAAAGTAAAAATATATAATTGCAATATTTTGGCTGTATTGACGAATGGTTCAGAGATGTGGAAAACAAACAAAACAATTCAAAGAAAATTTAAAAGCTTCAAAACAAAATGTTTACGAAGAATTTTACTAATAAAATGGAATGAGTTTATTACAAATAATGAAGTAATGCAAAGAGCTGGAAGTCAAGATTAGACATCAACACCACAAATAAAAAACACCAAATGGAGATATCTGGAACATGTTCTGAGACACATGCCAAAGACGAGATTGCCCTATCAGACATGGCATTGGAAACCAACAGGAAGGAGAAAGCGGGGAAGACCAACTGGAAACTATAGAGGCACAATAAGAGAGGAGGCAATCACCCAGAGCCTAGATGTGTCGAAATTGGAGAAAGTAGCCACGGACAGAGAAGCGTGGCGTCGACAGCTCTCCGCCTTATGTACCTCACGGTATAGGGAGAGAGTAAAACGTAAGTAGTAAATATGATCATATGTATTTATTTATTTATTCATTTATAAAATTATCACTGGGAATTAAAGCTATCACACGGGTAAACAGTATTTAATGCTAGTCGGCAGGATCTGAAAATGTGTGCTAAGACTAGACCAGAGAGCAACATTTAACACTTGAGGAAAAAAACCAAAATAATTTCATTCTTAAAATAATTATATCTACAT